TCTCACTGGAGGGGCAGGAAGGGGAAGGGTGAACAGCAAAGCCCCTGTGGGCAAACCTGTGACGGTGTTCACAGGGGTCTGAGGATGAGGGAAGAGATGAGGATCTGACTCCATGCTTCAGAAGGCTTGATTTATTATTTTATGATATATATTACATTAAAACTATACTAAAAGAATAGAAGAAAGGATTTCATCAGAAGGCTGGCTAAGAATAGAATAGCAAAGAATGATAACAAAGGCTTGTGGCTCAGCTCTCTGTCTGAGCCAGCTGACTGTGATTGGCCATTAATTAGAAACAACCAACATGAGACCAACCCCAGATGCACCTGTTGCATTCCACAGCAGCAGATAACCATTGGTTACATTTTGTTCCTGAGGCCTCTCAGCTTCTCAGGAGGAAAAATCCTAAGGAAAGGATTTTCCATACAAGATGTCTGTGACACAAACCCTCAGTCATGGGGACACTTTGCTGTCCCTGAGGATGAGCAGCAGATGTGGCTTTGCTCTGAAGCAGGACCCAGGCCCATGGTGGGAGCACCACAGTGTGCAGTGCATGTCCAGGAGATGCCTGCAGGGAGAGGGGAGGCTGCCACACCTGCCTGGGCCACAGCTCCTGGGGATCCTGCTGGAAAATCCAACCCAAACTGAGAGCTGGAGCCACCAGGTGAGAGCCACAGCACAGCAGTGCCAGGCCAGGAGATGGACACCTGCCCAGGTGTGGCTGAGAGGAGCTGGCTGCAGGTCTGCATGGACACCCAGGCTTGTTTCAACTCTCTCCAAACCACTCCAGTCTCTAAATCAACTTGGAAGCAATGCTATTTACAAGCTTACTTCTTTTGGCAAAAAGAAATAATAAGCAAGAGGGTGATACTATTATTATTTCAGCTTCAGAGGAGGGAATAATCAGCTTTCCAAGGAATGCAAGCTTGGCTGAGTGCTGAGGGCCATGCAGAGATACCCATCTCCCCTTAACTCTGAGCTCTCTCTGGGGACTGCCTTGCTGAAATTTATCTGCCAGGGAGGCTCAGAAGGCAGATCAGCAGGGAATAGGATGCCAAGCCAGACAGAGCTCCCCAACAGTTGGCTCAAACCTGAATCCATCCTTTAGTGACCAAGAGGGGAAGCTGCAGAAGCCCCCCAGCATCTCCCCCCAGCCAGCTCCCCACAGAGACCCCAGCCCAGCTCCACATCTTCAGGAGACAAAACCAGCACCACTCCCACCCTGCTTTACCAGCCTTCACCAATGAGCCCTGAGGACCCTCTGAGCTCCTTCTGCCCCCCTGCCTTGCTGTGAGGAGGGATCTCCCTGCTGAGCCCAGCTCTGCTCACTCCTGCACAGGGATGGGACTCAAACCTTTTTTAATCTTCATTTATTGCTCTCCCTCTCTGCTGGTCAGCCATCCCCAGCACCCACAGGGGGATGCCCATCCCTCCCTCCCCTCGCTTCCTTGCTCCCTTTCTGCCCCACATTCAGCCCCACCTGGTGCCTCACCAGCCCTGTGGGGTGTAGGGAGCTGGGACAAAGCCATGGCTGTGTCTCCATCCCTCCTGAACTGCATTTCTTCTAGGAGAAGGCTTTGTGGATGTTTCCTGCCTTGCACTGCTGCTGAACCCCAAGCCCAGCTCCACAGGCTCCTGTTCCCCCCCGAAAATGCTCCAGAAAGTTCCCAGCCCCAGCCAAGGCTGCAGGACACCCCAGGACAGCAACACACGACACAGATGTGGCAGCTCATAGAAAGGATTGAGGAGTCTCTTCCCCCTTTTATTGAAAATGATCATTTCTATTCTAGTGCAAACACTGTACATTTTACATCACAAAGCAAGAGATAATTTACAGGATAGCTCCCATCTGGAAATCCCATGCCATGTCAATCATCCCTGCCATGCACAAAATTCCCACTTGGAGGGAACCAGTCACCTATTTCTCTGCTGGGAGAGGGGGAGCCTGAGAAAACAGTGCTTGTACAGAGCAGGCAAGAGGAAAATGCTTAAGACACATTTTCTGCCCTGAATGGTACCCAAACTTAATGCTAACCATGGTAACCATGGCAACTTCCCAGAGCTACAACTGGAAATCTGCTGAAACCCCGGAGAACTCCACTCTTTGAGGATAAGGCCCTTGATTTGCACATATATTTACATGGTTGAATAAAATACAGATTAGACACAGGCAATTCTAAAATTTCACTTTGGCTTGATGGACGAGGAGTCGCTGTCTTTTGGCTGAGGTCATCAGCAATCAACAAATAAACACCAGAAGCTGTCTGCTCATCCAGTTGGACTCTGGTTAACAAATCCATGTAAACAAAGCAATATTGGGGATGTAAAGGTCTTATCTGAACTGCCAACAGCCCAGCCAGCTGTGGTGGCACCCCTGACCAAGCAGCCCAACCCAAGGCAAGACTCAGCTCAGACTGGAGGTGCAGCAGCTCCCAGAGCCTCCCTGAGGAGCAGCCCCATGCCAGACAGACCAGATGAAATGAAGAGGCTGAGCAAGGGTTGGCACAGGGATTTGTGAGCCCCTTGATGTGAGCATCCCAGCGTGGGGATGGAGATCTCAGTCTGTGGCTGGGTCATGGGGTACCAGGAGCTCCAAGCTCCCTTGATACCCTCAGAAAGTGCTGTCCCTACACAGACAACAGCAAAAGCTGCTCAGGGTGGTTTTTCTACTGCAGAGAAGCTGAGCAAAGCCTGGGGGAAAGCCACAGGCCAGAGGGATGCTGAAAGGTGAAAAGGAAAGAGCTGAAACTCCAGGGAGAGCTCTGAGGGCTCTCAGGGGAATCCAGCCAGGCTGGCATGGGGTGGGCTCTGGAGGAGGGCAGCAGGGCAAGGGGGTGCAGAGCACCAGCTCAAGGTACTCAACACCCATTTCAGCCTCTGAGTGATGGTACTCAAAGGCACTGGGTCCTTTCTGACCAATTCTGCTCTGTGTTTGTGGAGGCACAGGAAGCAGGAGTGAGTTTCTAAGTGCAGCCTGAGATTTCCAACATCATCACTTGGCTCTAGGAGCTGGACCTGCCCTGTGCAGGGCAGAAATATTTTGGTTTACACACGTGAGTTTCTCCAAGAAAACGGATCAGACAGAACATGATGGATTTCTTAAAGCACAGTACTCACCCTGCCTCCCTTTCCCTGGTGTTCTGCCTGTGACTTTCAGCTTTTTGTCTTGATCAAAATTAGGGTTTTTTTCCTCAAAAATACCCACATTGGGAGGAAAAAAAATAATAAATCCAGTAGCAATGCATACAATCACAGGCACAACTCACTCCAGTTTGGATTTTCCCTTGTGCTAGCTCAAACATTTTGGCTGGATTTCCATTCATCCTCTGCCAGTTTAATCTTCACCTACACTTTAAAGAGATTTATTCCTCATTTCCTGCAACTTGCTGTTTGAGACTATCAGACATCTCCACACGCCCAGGGTGTCTGCAGCAAACACCAGGCTGGAGATCCAAGCCACTCTGGTATTTCTCATGGCTGAGCTCCATTCTCCTTCCCTGGTGGTGCAGCCTGGGCCATGGAGCAGCTCTGCTGCCTTCAGTGTGGCTGTGCCATGGCCTTGCCCATCCCAGCTTGGACACAAGTGCTGTTTGGCATCAACCAACCCCTCCTCCCCCTGACATGAGAGGCAGCATCACCAGCAATGAGAAAGATCCTGATTTCCTCAGGATATCTGCGTGGAAGAAATGCCTTTTGGGCTGCATCTCTCTGCTCTTGGTGGAGATAAATTAATTAGGGATTAATTAGGTCTCCAGAGCCCAGAGGGAGGACAGCAGGTAGGGGGAATGGTTAAGGTTATGGGACAAGCCTCACTGAGCAGAGTTAAGGGATCTTTGGTGGGATGCTCCCTGCTGAGACATCACTTGTGCCCAGAGGGATTTCCCTGGGATATCCCAAAAACCACATGAACCAGCAGAGGAGACCCTTGCTGTGTTCTGTGCAGCTGCCCATGGGGAAAACCTGCAAAAAGGAGTGTGGCTCCCTCCAGCACCACTTCTTTGGGGTTCCTCATGGAAACTCTCACGAGCTGCCTTTCCCAGAGCTGCCCAAGGCTGCAGGGAAGAGCTCTGGCAAGGCTGAGAGAGGCTGTGGCTGGAATTTCAATGCACAGCTCCACCTGGATGCAGCACAAACATCCTGAACGTTTTCAACGGGTTTTATTTCGTTTAATAAAAAACACCAACCAAGCTTGCATGTATTATCTTATATATATAAATATATACAGTATATATAAAACAAATGCATCTGGACAATGCCTTTCCCTGTGGCAAAAACTGTAAGGCATAGGAAGGAGTGTCCTGACAGTCCTGATCTTGGCACTACAGAGAGATCCCCCTGCTCACACACCCACGTTGGCTTGGCTCTCTTCTTTGGCTTTTTGAGGCAGCAGTGCAGGGAATACTCAACCAAACAATGGAGCTCTGCAGAGCCCAGGGAGGTTTTCCAGGCAACTCAGACAGCAGGAATCCATCTTGCTGCACTAAATGGGCTTCTGGCAGGCTGATAGGAACGTGCTGCCTCTGTGGCACAAGGGACTGGAGGGATGAGGGTGGGGTGGATATCGTGGAAATTGGTGACCAAACAAATTCTTCTTCTTCTAGGGTGAGCTGGGGCAGCAGGGAGATGAGCAAGCTTTGGATCTCAGCGTGCTGGGGCTGGGACTGGTCCATGGGCTGAGACTGGCAGAGGTTTCTTTTTGCAGTCCCTCACAAAAATGGACACCAGCAAGGGTGAGACTGTCCTTTACTGAAGAAGCTCGCAGTATATTGAGCAGAAGCAATAAACCCGACGATAACAAGAAAATAAAAAATGGTGGCATTATCCCAAAAGGAAGGAGGAACCTGATCACTCACAGGTTCTGTTTGCTCCCCATGTTCAGTTCTGGGTGAGGGTTGGCTTTTTTTCCTTCTTTTTCTTTTTTTCTTTTTTTTCTCTTTTATTTTGACGGTGTTGTTTTTTTGTTGCTGTTGTTGCTGCTGTTCTCTTTTTCTTTTATTTTCTCTTTCAGCACAGACAGTTGCAAAGCAGGACGGGTGCTGTTGTGTCTTCTCCTGCAAGGCAGCTGCCCCCAGCTGTTAATTGACTGTGGGCACCTGATTCCTCTGTAAACTATATTCCTTAGCCTTCAGTCTCAGGTTGGCAATACTGTTGGCCATGTTCATGCCCTGTGCTGGGCTGGCGTTGGTACACGTGGCAGAGTAGGTGGCCATGGCACTGAGGGATGGAAAGAGAAACATCATGTCACACGTGGCCTCCAAACCACAGCAGAGCCTAAAGCCTGGTTTTTTCCATACCTGTGGGATGTAATCCTGCTGTGGTGTCAGCAGGGAATTACCTCTCCCCTTTATTTAGCAAATCTTTCCGCTGCTCTTCACTCACCCAGCACCAAAGCTGGTTGAAGTCAACGGGAAAAATTTCCACTTCCTATTTTCTAACCCAAAAAAAGGTTTGCAATGAGGTCAGCCTGCCAGTTAGACCATTGTCCTTAAAAGTATTCCCAGTGGAAGCAGTGTCTGTTTGATGAGACCAATTGCTGGTTTTACAGCCTGTGAAATCACGTCACTTCTGAAACACATGTGACATTAAAGAAACATTCTGGGAAAAACCCCTTTCAACAATTGGGATGTTTTCTTGTTACTGCCTTTTGGAATGAAAATTTCCACATTTTTTCCCCCCTCAAAACTTCAGCTGATTATAAAGAGCATGTCCTGAAGGCTGAAGGAAGAAACCCAAAACATAAACCACTTTTTCTCCCTTCAAACTGCGACTTTATTCATGAAAAACATCACTTCTAACAGCAGAGCCTGAACAAAGATCTCCAACTCCTTTCTTATCCTACCAAAAAATCTGCAAAGCTGCTTTCCAGACCACTAGAAAACTTGTTTAATCCGTGTGTCCCCTGGGTTTCTGTGAAAAGCAGCTCCCCCTGCCAACTCTCCAAAACCCCAAAGTATTTGACCTGCTGCATTTCCTTTGCATGGCCCACAGATCACAACCAGTTGAGAAGCACCACATGAAGTGGAGGTGCTCAGGAGGAACCCCCAAATGCTCTGCTGGAGGCCAGCTCAGCTCTGGTGCTGACCTTTCCCATCTGCCTGCCCTGCTGGCTCCCAGCTGAGGCTCTAGGAAATGCTCTGCTCCATCCACACACCAAAACACCAAGATGGGCTGGGATTTTTTGCCCTTTTGTATTTTCCTTTATCCGTTATTTTTTTTAATTTTATTTTATTTTTTAAATTGTTCCAGCACTGATCTCCACAACTGGAAATGCAAAGATTAAATCTCCCTGCAGGCACAGGGGCACTGCTGCACAGACCCAGGCTGGAGCTGTGCCTGCTCACCCCGAGGTGCTGCTGGTATTTCTGACCTCCCAAAAGGTCAGAAAGTATTTCTGGAGTATTCCAGGAGTATTTCTGACTTTCTGGGAGGTTATCTGCCACCCAGTGCTGTGTGAACCCTCAGTCTGCAGGAGATCCAGAGCAGGGAGTATCTGCATTTCACCAGCATCCAGCACACGTGGATGTGCTGTTTCTGGAGCTCTTCTCAACCAGCTGCACCCTCATTCCCTCTCCATGGCTGGGCTGGTTGCTCTCCTCACCCCCAAGTGCTGCCTGCAGGAGGCTGCAAAGCTCCACAAGGTCTCAGGTTAATCCCCCACGCCCATCTGCTTCCACAGGGTGCATCTCTCCCGTGTTTTTGAGCTGGAAGCAATTTGGAGACCTTCAAGGGTACCCTAAACTGGATAAAATAGGAGTTTTCAGTCAGGGCTGCAAACTGTCCCCATTCTAAACCAGTTTGTTGGCCAAGTCTGGGCTGAAACTCCAGGGAGCCTCTGGGAGCTCCCCGGAGGTGTGGGGAAGGTGGTTTCACTTACTGATGCCAAGTGAAATCCCTGCTAAACCAAAAATCTCTAGCAGTGCTTCCTTTCATCAGGTTATTCCAGCAGGAGCAGTGCACAAGAAGGCTGTGTCCAAACACCAGAACACCCTGAGGGTTGCTCCAGAGACTCTCCAGGGTCTAAGAAGGGTTGAAGTCACCCTGCTGCCCCCTCCTTCTACCCCATTCAGGCAGAGAAAATTCTCCTTCCTCCACTCAGCTGTCTGCTTTCATGAAACACAGAGGAGCATCATGTTTCTGAGGCCTAAAATCCTTCTTTCAAACAAGGTTTTCAGTGGCCCGTGGAGCCAAATGTTGCTGGAGTGGGAAGTGTGGGCTGCCAGTCCTGTTTTCTTAGGAACCTAGGCTAAAAAATGCCTAAGTAAAACATTTCTCAACTTCAAAAAAAAAAAAGCATAGTATCTACTTGGCTGTCTGTGTGACAGAGATCTGCAAATAGCTTTGGTTGACCTGTGGCTGAGTGTATTTGGAGAATAAACACAGGGACTGCAAACTTTTCCCAGATCTGAGAGGGAACCCAGCCCTGGTCACGCTGCTCTGGGCCCTCCCCAGGAGTGGCTGCTAATAAGGGGCTGCTCCAGCACTGCTGGGAAGATGGGCAGGGGGCAGGGGGCCATGCAAACACTCCACAGGGCTGCAGGGTTTCACTATTTCAATATCTGAATGACCTTACTGCAAAGCTTTAATGAGGCTGAGACCCTTTCAGATGAATGTGATTGCCAGGAGAGGATCAGAAGGATCAGAAACCCAGGGGAGCACGGAGTGTCGGAGGGTGCTGTGCATCCCAGAGTGTGGAAAGCAGCTGCTCTGCTCCTCTGCCTGGGCAGGGCAGTGGGAGGGTGCCACTGCAGCCTGCTGTGAGGTGGAAGCTGCAAATAAATGCCTCTGCTGAAACATCCTGGCTGCAGACAAAACAAGGGGAAGGTGTGTCTGCATCCTGGACGGGCACAGCCTAGGGCCGAGGGGCTGGAAACCATCCCTGAGACTGGAAACCATCCCTGAGACTGGAAAACCATCCCTAAGGCTGGAAACCATCCCTAAGGCTGGAAAACCATACCTGAGACTGGAAACCATCCCTGAGGCTGGAAAACCATCCCTGAGGCTGGAAAACCATCCCTGAGACTGGAAAACCATCCCTGAGACTGGAAAACCATCCCCGAGACTGGAAACCATACCTGAGACTGGAAACCATCCCTGAGACTGGAAAACCATCCCTAAGGCTGGAAAACCATCCCTGAGACTGGAAAACCATCCCTAAGGCTGGAAAACCATCCCTAAGGCTGGAAAACCATCCCTGAGACTGGAAACCATCCCTGAGACTGGAAAACCATCCCTGAGACTGGAAACCATCCCTAAGGCTGGAAAACCATCCCTGAGACTGGAAAACCATCCCTGAGACTGGAAAACCATCCCTAAGGCTGGAAAACCATCCCTGAGACTGGAAAACCATCCTTAAGGCTGGAAACCATCCCTGAGACTGGAAACCATCCCTGAGACTGGAAAACCATCCTTAAGGCTGGAAACCATCCCTGAGGCTGTCCCTTCTCCCCTGTTCTCATTAGGATATCCCAGGTGCTGCAGGTGACCTCAGACAGCCCTTCCCAGGTGCCCTTGGGAGTTACCTTTGCAGGGGCTTCTCCTAGCAGTGATTATGAATCTCCTAGCTCATGTTCTCCTAGCAGTGATTATGGATCTCCTAGCTCATGTTCTCCTAGCAGTGTTATGAATCTCCTAGCTCATGTTCTCCTAGCAGTGATTATGAATCTCCTAGCTCATGTTCTCCTAGCAGTGATTATGGATCTCCTAGCTCATGTTCTCCTAGCAGTGATTATGGATCTCCTAGCTCATGTTCTCCTAGCAGTGATTATGGATCTCCTAGCTCATGTTCTCCTAGCAGTGATTATGGATCTCCTAGCTCATGTTCTCCTGGCAGTGATTATGAATCTCCTAGCTCATGTTCTCCTAGCAGTGTTATGAATCTCCTAGCTCATGTTCTCCTAGCAGTGATTATGAAGCCCCCTGTGTAAACATCATCTCAAGGAAGGATGATCTCTTTTAAAAAGTTTAAGAGGTGGAAATAAGCCATGAGCATTGAGTAGGGATCTGGTGCTGTGACCAGTGCAGCCCCATGGGGCTGGGGAAGGAACTCACTCTCTTCCCTTCCTTGATCTCACCTCCCCAGAGTGCCACAGCAAGAACACTGCACAGGGAGAAAGCCTTAATCCATAAAAGAGGGATTTTGAAAGGCAGCAGTCACCAGACAAAACTCCAAAGGGTAAGGGCCATTTCTAAGATGAAGCTGGTGGCCACCAGGCGCATCCTTTTCCATATCTGTAGTGGGTGGGTCTATGACTTATTCTGGACATAGAGGGTGGATGAGGAGGACCCCCCTGGTCTGAAGCAACAAGCAGGAAGACCAGACCATGTGTTTGCAGCTCTTGCTGTACAAACAATGCTTGGAGCAAAAAGGGGGTCAAGGTGACCCAGCAAGAGAGGTCCTGAGCACCAGGTGTGGCTCCTGGAGGGCAGTGGGAAGCTGGCAGTGACCAAGCCAGATGAACAGGAAGAAATCCAGCCAAAGGCTTCATGGTCCTGACCAACAATGAAGCCACTGTGCTAAAAACCACCCTCCAACCTCCTTTTTAACTGCCTGTGAGCCAGCTGGCTCCCCACAAACCAACACATCCTGTGGAGCTCGTGTCCACACCCAGCTCCTGCAGAGCCAGCAACGGCACAGAGAGGACAGGCAGCGCTGTGATGTGCACACACATCCCAGACCCTCTGAGGCTGGGCTTGCCACATCCCTGCTCCTTTCCTGCCATCCCTTGAGCGGCACTGAGCACCAATCTGTCACCTGGCCCTTCCTGCAGGCTGGCCACAGTGCAGTGCTCACACACACACCTGGACTCAGGCAATAAAAGATCTGCTCACCAGCCCAGTGCTGAGAGCTCCACGGGGATGGAGGAGCTCCCAGCCTTGCTGCCATCCCCAGCAGTGGGACAGCCACAGAACTCCCTCTTCTGGCCACTGCGTGCTGGCTGAGCCTGCCCAAGTGCTCTGAGCCCCCTCCCCTGGATCTGTGTCCCATGGAAAGGTTTCCTCCTTGCTATAAACCAGATGCACTGGGGAAAACCTTCTGTTTCCATGCACTTCTAACTGAGCCTCTCTAGAAACTCCCTGAATTGCAGAGAGAGACCCCCAGAAGCTGCCAGAAAGACCAACAACACTGAGCTGGGATCACACTACAAAACTGGCAATGAGATGGTGTCACAGTCATATTTTCTGAAAATTCCTTTGCCCAGGATTTTTCTCCTGGGAAGCTGAGAAGCCTCAGAGGAAAAGGAAAACAATAATTATCTGATTTGCTTCTCCCGTGTTTTGCTGCTTTGGAATGTGTTTGGAGATTGTTTACCCACAGGTGACTGTTTTGACTTATTGGCCAATCAGGGCTAAGCTGTGTCAAGGCTCTGGGAAGAGTCACGAGTTTTCATTGTTATCTTTTAGCATTCTCTAAGTATCCTTTCTGTATTCTTTAGTATAATTTAGTATAGTATTCTTTAATATAATATAGTATCATAAAGTAATAAATTAGCCTTCTGAGAACATGGAGTGAGATTCATCATTCCTTCCTACATCAGATTCATCATTCCTTCCTACATCTGGGGGCAACCCAAATACAACAAGATGGGGTGGGAACAGGTGAGGAGAACCAGTGGGATGGTCAGGCTGCTGTATCCTCCAGGTGTGGATGCATCAGAGCTGTCTGAGGGCGCTTTTGGGGTGGTGCAGTGGGGTCACTCAGTCACTCAGTCACTCAGTCAGTCCCTCCCTCCATCCCTCCCTCACCTGTAGGGCGAGGCAGTGCCCCAGGACAGGTAGTCGGTGGCCCTGGGGGCCGGCCGGGGTACGATGGGCTGCTCCACGGCCGCCACGTCCCCGGAGTAGGATTTGAGCAGCGAGGCGTTCTTGCTGGCCAGCATGGCGCGCTCGTTCCGGCGGAACTTGGCTCTCCTGTTCTGGAACCACACCTGCAGGGGACAGACAGGGCCACCAACCATCACACCTGCTCTGCCACTGGCCACGTCCCCACGGGATCCCATCCCCATCCCCATGGGATCCCAGCCCCATCCCCATGGGATCCCATCCCATCCCCATCCCCAAAGCTGGCTGCTTCCCAGGCTGGCCCTGGGAACCCTGAGGATGGGATAACCCTGGTGCCTGCTCTGACCCAAGCCCTCAGGTGAGGGGCTGGCTGAGGGACATGGGTGTGTCCCGTGCAGATGGCTGTGGCAGTCGTATTTTCTGGAAAAATCCCTTTGCCCAGGATTTCTCTCCTAGGAAGCTGAGAGGCCTCAGAGAAAAAGGAAAACAATATTATCTCATTTGCTTCTCCTGTGTTTTGCTGCTTTGGAATGTGGTTGGAGATTGTTTACCAACAGGTGATTGTCTCATTGGTTTCATGTGAATTGTTTTGAATTATTGGCCAATTATGGTCAAGCTGTGTCGGGGCTCTGGAGAGAGTCACAAGTCTTTTTTAGTATCTTTCAGCCTTCTGCAAGTATCCCTTCTGTATTCTTTAGTATAGTTTAGTATTCTTTAGTATAGTTTTGGTATAGAATTCCTTAATATAATATATAATATATATATTTTTATATATATAAATATATAATATATATAATATATTATATATATTATATAAAATATATTATATTATAAAATATATTATAAAATATTATAAAATGATAAATTATATAATATATAATATATATATGAAATATATTATATATACATGTGTATATATATAAAATATCTTAAAATAATAAATTATTTTATTTATTTTATTGTTCCTTCTAAGAACATGGAATCAGATTCATCATTCCTCCCTTCTTGTATTTGTGTGAGGGAACCCCACAAATACAGGAGATGGCAGCAAGGCTTGGCAGTGCTGTCCAGCACACCATGTTCCACAGTCTGCTTTCACCTGCAGAAGGTGCAGGCCTGCAAGCTGAGAGCTCAAGGTAACATCAGCAGCCTGAGCATCCAACAGCTTGGCCATATGGACACATCTGAGTGGGCAGGTGGTGAATGGAGGGGCAGGTCAGGCCTGGCAGTTTCCCTCAAGGCACGGTGGAGTCAGGAGCTTGGTGATTCTTTTGTGCCACACAGACCCCAAGGATTTCTGCTGCCTTGCTGGAGTGGCCTGATGATCCCCCAGGTGAGGTGGGAATTACCTGAATCATGGGATTACCTGAACTCTGGCCTCAGTGAGGTTGACTCTGCGTGCAAGGTCTTCCCGTACGAAGGCATCGGGGTAGTGAGTCCTCTCAAAGACCCTCTCTAGTGCCTGCAGCTGGCTGCTGTTGAAGGTAGTCCTGTTCCTCCTCTGCTTTCTTTTCTTCTTCTCTTCTGAGTTCAGCTGATCATCTATGAGAGACAACTGGGGATGTGAAAAGCGAAAAAGCCAAGAGCCCAGAGCCACCATTGAGGGGTGAACGACCTCAGTGGTTTCAAGAGGGAAAGGGCTTAGGAAGGGGCTTGCAGAGTTTTAATACAATAACCATGCTGGGTTACTCCCCACATGAAGAGGAGGTGGAAAGTGCACCAATCTCAAGCATTCATTTTTCAATTCTACTGCGTAAGACTTGTGCCAGATCTCTTAAGCTACGCCAGGTCTCAGCTTCCTTTTCTCTAAAAAGCAGCAAAAAAAGCCCAAAATGCATCTCCCCATTCCTCACAATCCCAGAAATCTTTTCTGATGGCAAAGAATCACAAAGCCCTGTTCTCTCTGCTTCAATTTCCAAGGACTGCTCTGACTGGGATGTAACACAGCTCTCTGGGGTAAGAGCACACTCTTGGATGCTGCTAGTGAGGAGCAGCTGTGCCCTCTGCAGCATCCTCCTTGCCTTGCTGAGCCCAGCAAGGTGTTGAACAACCACCCATAAGAGCATGTATTGTTTTGGACCTGGTTTGCATTTACTCAGAAATTAATCAACACATCTGGATCATGCCAGTATGTGCGTGTGCCACCAAAAAATCCACATTACCCTGGGGGGGACCTGAGGCAATATTCATGTCAGCATTAAAGTGTATTGATCCCTGAATCCATAAAAATGCACAAGCTGGGGAATCATATTCTAAGTTCATCCCTGCACACCTTGGCCCAGGTGAGTGTCACCACTGGGAGTGCCAGGGCTTGACCTGCTATGTACAGAAGGAGAACACTCCCTCAACAGTCACTCCTTTTGCCATGTACAAATACGACAGCTCCCCTTATCCCTCTCTTCTCCAGGGGGTATGTAAGGCACAGGGAGGGGCTGACAAGGAAATTAAAGTCTGCAGTTGTTGTCCTCACCACCTGTTTGTGTTGCTTTTCACAGCCCATCTGGTACCAGTTACTGCACCTGAACACCTTTGGAGCAAGGCCCATCCATTTGAGAACAAAAGGACATTCCTCTTAAATTAAAGCATGGCTTTCAAATTCCTGCAGGTTTACAGTGCCTCCATCCCTAATCCTCCTCCAACAGCCTGATGATCCCCAGAAGGCTCCTTTCCAGCCTGGGGATTCCTGGGTGCAAAAACACACCCTTGGTTTTCCCGCATCCGAGAGGAAGTGTTGGGAGACCGGTTATTAACAGGAACACTGAGTTGTAAAGCTGAGCTGGGAAGGGACTGGCAGAGGCAGGAATGTGCAAGGAAAACAAAGGTATGAAGGAATTAAAGCAGGGCTACAGGTGAATCTACCAGCTCAGAGGGATGGGATTGAAGTGCTGCTTGTGCAGAACACCCTGCACACATTTCTCCCTGCTGGGGGGTTTGACACCATCACAGGCTCCATCCCCTATAAAGAAGGAGAAAAACCCTGCATGTCCCTCTCTTGACTCATCACCAAACCCTTTTCAAAAAGGGTCAGCTATTTCCCCTGGCTCTGCTGTGCTGCTGTGCACCACACAACACAGCAAACAGAGCCTCAGGGCACAAATGGCCCTCCAAATGCCACAAACACCGCAAGGCCAGCTGCTGGAGAGGCCAAAGACAACACGGCCTCCTTTGGAGTTACCCACTTCATGCTATTTTCTAACCTAAATCCTGCCTATACAGAGCATATGAACAAATCAATAGAAGCCTTTGGGACCCCTTCAGAATCCCATCCAGGCCTCTGAAGCATCATTTCTGCCCAGAAGACAACACCCGGCTGCAGGGAACACGAGTCTGGCCCTTGCTCGGCCCTGCGTGACAGCTACACATGAGGAGGGGTGAGCACATCCCTCTGGGGAGCAAGAAGAAGGGCCAAAGTCTGTAAAACACCAGAGAACAAGAATTAATTCCCCCTGCCAAGCACGTTAGCACAATTTGCCTGGTTTCCTCCCGGCGTAAAGCGAGACGCCGGTGATTCACGGCTCACCTCGTAATTACTGAGCCCAAAAATAGCCAGGACAGAAAGTGTCCGTGCTGGGTGACTCATGGCTGGGTCACTGCTGGCTAAAGCACCCCCAGCCTGGGCTGCCACGGAGCAGAGATGCCAGTCACCCCCTTTTTCCAGGACAGAGCTGCATGGAGGTGACAGCAAAGCACGACCTGTGACGGGGAGCTCTGGAATTTTGGTATCTCCCACGGCCGCACCTCTGGAACAGCACGAAATCCAAACCTCTACAGAAGTGATTTGGGTAGCAGGGGAAAAAAAATAATAACAGGATATTAATCCAGAGCAGCATGAGGTTGGTCAATCCTTGTGTTTTGGCATGTGCTGCTAAGGAGGGACTGTACACACCTAAACCCAGCCTGCCTGCAAATGTCACCTTGCTCACAGCGCTCCCCGGCTGCCTCCAGCACATCAGCAGGGTGTTTCTACTTCTCTACCATTCATTTCTTTATCAGGAAACAACCCTGAACACTGGAAAATGGTATTCCTGAAAAATAGTATTCCTGAAAAATGGTATTCCTAAATAGTGTTGACAGCACAAGTGACTGGGGTCAGCAGAAACGGAGAGGAGAGGGAAACAGCTCTAAAGATTTTTAGGTAGGTCAGAAGTCTTTTGTCAACGTTCTTTTAATCAGAAAAATTTTATTACATGCAGAGTTCTCAAAAGCTGAGCAGCTTGCAAATGTGCCTCACAGAAAGACTGAAATGTGTGTTCTCCTCTCAGGAACCCAGTGCTGGAAAATCTGGGAATTTCATTGCCAAATCCCAACCTTCCACGCTGGGACTACGTTTCCTGTTTCCACATTTGCGTTTTCCTGTGCTATTTCTACATTTCCCCATAACATGCAGGTCCTGGTGTCATACACAAGTGCACCAAAGCATTTTCAAGTGCTCCTAAATGATTCAGCAGGAAACATCCTGTTCTTTTTTCCTCTTGCAGTGAGGCAGATCCACACTTGCAGACACTCCAATCTCTTCTCCTCACTGCACAGTGTCCAGTGTCTGTCCCAGTGCCTGTAACTATTGCTGAGGCACCACCAGACAGCTCTTCTTGGGATACCACATTAAAAAAAAACAACAAAAAAAAGACCCCAAGCCCCCCCCCCCCCCCAAACAAAAAAACCCACAAAAATTAAATTAAATTAAATTAAATTTTAAAAAATCAGAGTTGAAAACTAAATGCCTACGTAGGAGTTTCAAGATTGGTATTTTTTCATCAATACCTACAACCACAACATATTTCAGATTTCCAGTTTGCAGGAATGCTTATGCATACTTGCAATTCATTCCAGGTCAGAACAAAAGCTAATTTCCAGATGGGATTTACATTTGTGGGCAGTTTGGAAAAGTTTTGACCAGTTCTATTATGTCCAGAACCAGCTATTATAGTTCATTAATTGGATCCGAATTGAAAGTAAACCATTGGATTTAATTAAGGGAGGGACAGAGACACTTAACCACAGAATAATGTATGGTAAGGCAGCAAAGATTTGTCACATCAGTTATAGAAACTGGAAACTGAGAAAGGATTCCAGGAAGAAAATAAGGAATCACACTCTAATCACAGCCTTCAAAATAAGAAGTTAACATTTGAACACAGATTTAAGAACAAGCAAGACAAATTATTTCACAGTGAAAAACCCTCAAACTATAAATTAAAAGGAAACAATTCAAAACTCTTAAAATATAAAAAAAATACTGCAAGCAAGTGAAAGTTTTATTCAGATTGGTGGATAAAGAAAGAAAGGAAAAGGGAGAAAAGAAGGGAAAGGAACAGGGTTTTTTATTTGGTTTAAACTTAAATTTCATGAAGCTTGAATAGAAATATTTCTGGGTGTTCCCCCAGCTCTGGGCAGGCTCCTCTCCCCAGCATCAGCCATCCAGTTTTTAGCCCCTCACACCCTCCCAGTCCACTTTAACTCACGCTCTGCTTTGCTTTCGATTCGTGACATCCCTCTAAAAACACTGCAACACTTTGCATGCAGGGCAGCTTTGTCAACTGGCATCATAAAAAACCCAAAACCAAAACCCAAAATGTTTAATCAAAGCGAAACCAAGGCTCCGAGCAGAGCAATGGGGACACACAAACCCCACATGGGGACAGAGCCCAGCCCCACTGATTTGAGACAAGGTTCACTGATTTTCCACCCCGCTCCTCCCGAGGGCTCCTTGTCCAGCAGCAGCATCCATTGACTTTGCCAGATGTGAGCAGGGACAGAAGAGGGGCAGGGGGACATAAATGGAGAAGATTTCATGCCCAGATCTGCCTGAAGTATCTTTCTTTCTAAAATCTCCCAGGAGAGAACAAACTCCAGCTCGTGCGGATTTCTGCGCACAGGAGAATGATTTCTGAACGGAAACGGGGTTTAACTTCAGGGCACACAAATGCTACACAGAGAAGGTGCAGCTATCCCACAGCAGCCATCACAAATGTAGGCAATATGGAATGAAGATAACAAATAAAAGTAAATATGTTAAGGTAGGAGATGCCTGTTAAGTCAAGTACTTCAGTACAGCAGCGATAGCGAGCCCAGCTGTACAACAACGATAACAGAAGGTTTTTATTCTGAGTATAGGTCAGAATATAGAGATTTTTGAACTATCATTTTCTTCTCATTACACAACACCAGCTGAGCTTTTCTCCTCACCTCTACTGTTTTTTTTTTCTGCATTATCTTAATGTTTAAATTATTTCAATTACACAGAAAATTCAAGTATCCAAAGTTCCAGTCTTGTTAAGAGCATCAGGAACACAGAAAAAAAAAAAAGGTAACAAAGAAACAGATGCTCTATTTCCTTTAAGAGCCATCTCTTGTGTCAGGTTCAAGTTTTGCACATAAATAAGAAGTTGTTCTGTGCATGAGCATGAAGCTTCAGAAACGTGACACTGAATTTTTCATACTAAACCTGAGTTTTAATGTTAAACAGAAAAACATGCATATTTTCAGTGTTACCCGTGGGGCTACAGCAGTTCCTCTCCGAAGTGTCTGCAATGTGGGACCTA